ATTAGTGTCAATTTTGGAGCACGAAGCTTGAAGGGACTTTAGCAATAGTGAAGGAGGAAGATCAATAAGAGAGAAAGAAAGGAAAAGGGGGTTAGTTAGGTTAGTTTGCTAGGGTGACCATGGGTTGGGGATTTTATTTTTCTTTTTTTAGGGTCATTTAAATGCTTAATTAAGGGTTAAACGTGGGTTAAGGGAATAAATGACGTCATAAATAATCTATGTTTCAATTTTTTAATATTTATATATATATATAGGGGAGGGATCTGGTAAGAACCCCTCCTTATATAAGAACCCTATTTATATAAGAACCAATCTCAGCCGTAGGATTAGATTGGGATGAGCGGTCAGGATTAAAACAAAATAAAAACCACTTTAATCTTTCAAATAAAAACGTAACCCATGACTTTCTCTCTCTTTCATAATTGTCCATGACTTTCTCTCTCCTCAAACTCCCAAAAGCTGCCATTGATGCTGCAATTCAAAGGTTTTTCAACGATTTTCCTTCAATTTTCCGCATAAGTTCTACGACATTAATAATGAAGCAAGTTAAATTGTTTAATCAAAGTACTAATTTGTTCGTCAATTTTGTATGATTGATTTCGTCATTCTTTTGCGATATTTGGCGATTTTATGTTAGATTTCTATTTGATTTCAAGAAAATAATATTTTTTAGATTTCTTCGTTTTTCTATTTAAACTTATTCATTTTTCATGGTTTGATTTTTGTGCGATTTTTTTTGGGGCGATTTTTTTGGTTGTTGATGTCGTTGTTGTGTGGGTACTTCTATTGTTTTGTGGCTGCTATGGTGGTGTGAATTTGGTGGTGATTGTTGGCTGTGATTGGTGGCAGAGGAATGAGAAGGTTGGTGATGTTGGCAGAGGTGGAGGGTTTTGCGTGAGGGAGCAGCAGGGGGTAGGCCGAATTGGGTGGCTGTGAGTGAGGGGTGTGGATTGGAGATGCGGTGTAGGATAAGAGAGGGCGTGGTGAAGGTTTAGTGGCTGAGCAGCAAGGGAGAACATAAAAAAAAAATTAGAGCACAGGTTTAGAACATAGGATAAATTTAGAACATAGGGGAAAAAAATTAAAGCACATGTTTAGAACATAGGAAAAAAAATTTAAAGCACATGTTTAGAACATAGGAAAACATTTAACATAGATAAAAAAAAAATTAGAACAAAAGAAAAAATTTTAGAACATATGCAAAAGAAAATTTAAAACATTTGAAAAAAAATTAGAACATAGGCCGAAGAAATCAAAATATAGAACATAGGTAAATTTAGAACATAGGCTAAATAATTAAAAAAAATTAAAGGCACAGGTTTAGAACATAGGAAAACATTTAGAACATAGACAAAAATACAATTTAGAACATCAGAAGAAATGAAGAGTATACGTTTAGAATAAAGGAAAAAAATTAGAACATCGGAAAAAAAATATTAGAACATAGGAAAAAATTTTAGAACATAAAAATAATATTTAGAACATAGGAAAAAAATAATATTTAGAACATAGGAAAAAAAAATTAGAACATAGGTAGAAAAATTTAGAACATAGGAAAATAGAACTTTAGAACATAAGTAGACTAAATTTAGAACATAGGAAAATAAAACTTTAGAACATAAGTAGTAGACTAAATTTAGAACATAGAAAAATAAAACTTTAGAGCATAAGTAGACTAATTTTTTTTTTTTGACGAGAAGTAGACTAAATTTAGAACATAGGAGTAGGCAAAAAAAACTTCAGAACGTAGGAAAATAAAACTTTAGAACATAAGTAGACTAAATTTAGAACAGGATAATAAAACTTTAGAACATAAGTAGACTAAATTTAGAACATAGGAAAATAAAACTTTAGAACATAGGAGTAGGCAAAAAAAAACTTTAGAACATAGAAAAAGAATATTCTGCCTATGTTCTAAAGTACGTAGTATGATTATACGAATCTTTTTTATATTCTCGGTCATGCTTTAGAACAAATTCAGTCAATTTTAGAACAAATTTAGTATATTTTAGAACATATGCTAAACCTATTAGCTCAATTGGCAGAGCACTATGCAAATGCATAGAAGATGTAGGTTCGATTCCTACATAGGTTAACTCTAAAAATAATTTCAAAAAGAAAATTAAATTAGCACTAAGTTATATTTTGTACAAGAATAAATTGGTTGATCGAAATGATTAACGACTATGGAAACTTTGTTACAACTTAATTCACATACAAACTCTTGTCTCCACACTATGAAAATGAACCTACGTGGGATTCGAACCCACATCTTTTGCGCATTTGCACAATGCTCTACCCGTTGAGCTAGTAGGTTGATGTATTTAAAGTATTCGAACTAAAAAAAATTACAAAAAAGATAGACATTAAGTTTGCTTATACTGTCATTAGTAGTCCTTTAGTGCACATTTTGGGAGGGCAAGGACTATCCCATGTTAAGACTAGTACTAACCAAGCAAGCTTTAAGACAGACATTACGTTTGCTTATACTGTCATTAGTAGTCCTTTAGTGCACATTTTGGGAGCGCAAGGATTATCCCATGTTAAGACTAGTACTAACCAAGCAAGCTTTGACAAAAATATGACTAACAAATAAGGGTAATGCTTAAATAAGAAAGTATACTCATGATTGATATGCATATTATGTGAGGTTGTTCGAGAAGAGTACACTTGTAGTGCTCATATGATATGCATAAGTGATGATATAGTATGCCCAAGTATGCAAGTAATCAAAATCATATTCTATTTTTAACCCTAGATTTCACAATAATAAATTATTTAAAGTTGCAGCTAATTCAAAAAAATCAACTTATGACATAAAAACATTCATTTAGATGCAAAAAGAACTATATTTGTTCAAACTTGCAGTCGATTTAAGGACTCAACTTCATAATAAATACTACCATACTAAATAGTCCTTGCTAGAAAATGCTTAACAGCCAAAAAGATATAGATCAATCTTTACAACATAAAGATCAAACTTTTGAACAGAGGGAAAATTTAGAACATATAGAATAACTTTGGAACATAGAGAGAAAACTTTAGAACATAAAGAAAAACTTAATAACATAAAATGATAAACTCTAAAATATATAAGCTAAACTTTAGAATATATATAGTAAGCTCTAGAACATAAAGAGTAAATTTTAGAATATTAAAGATTAACTTTAAAACATAAAAGGATAAACTTTCGAACATAGTGGATTTGATCCTATGAACAATAACTAAATGGGATCCCAATAAGGCAACAAATTAACCAAGGTCTATCAAAGGTTGTACTTTTCTAAAAAAAAAAACAAAAATTATATGATGAAATTAAAATTATAAACCTGAATTGAGATCAACAACGATATTAAAATTACAAACAAAATCAACATTCAAAAAAATTGCAAAGTAGAAATTAGAATGAACCAAGCAACCAAACCAAGAGTATGTAATTTTGACAACCAAACTAAGCAATCAACCTTAGTATTATATTTAAACAAGATCTGGAATGATTAGAACAAAAAGAAAAACAAGCAAATCAAACTGAAGAACAAAAAAAACGCAAAAAAATCGATCAAAAGAAAACAATAATGAAAAACTACACAATCGATTGAAATTGAATAAACAAAACTTGATATTCAACACAAAAATCAATGAAATTATAATTCGAATCAAACATAAATTCAATAAAAAAAATTATAGAAATTATAAGATTGATAAATAAACCCTAATTTAACATCATACCTTTAAAATAACACCATAACAAAAAATTTGTAAAAATTGATGATGATAATCAATGATATGTTGTAATATATCAATAATTTACACAGATTTTATGAAGATTTTGAAGAAACTTGTATGATTTTGGGGGGAGATTAGAGGGGAAAATGTTGAGAGAAAAGAGAAAGATAGTTGTAAGAAGAGACAGAAAGTGTGCGGGGAGGCAAAAAACAAAGAAAATATCAAATTGTTAGTTAGTTGCTGAAAATTACGAAATTGCCATTACTAAAAGTGTGTTTTGTGCGGTTAGATCAAAGGAAATTAACGGTGCAGATAATTTTCTTAATATCAAATGATAATATTACTAATTTAAACTGAAAAATCTCATTCGCCAATTTTGGTTATGTGTTATTTAAATTATTTAATTCTAAAAAAAATTTAATATTCTCGTATTTAATTGGCTACCACTAAAATTTATAATCCTACATGGCGAGCTGAAAAAATTAAATCCTACGTGGCTCTCTAAAAATTCGGGAAAAAAAACTCCCCTTTAAATATATACTCCCTCCGTTAATAGTTATGTGCAACTTTGGAGGGAATAACGGATACCAATGCAAAAGATGGAGGGCAAAGATTAGAGGGAGATAAGGGAGGTAATTAATAAAAGTGGAGAGAGACAGTTGGTCGTCCCCCCCCTGCAAATATGGAGGGGAAATCTGATTTGTTTTGGAGGGGTTTGTTTTCCCCATCAATTTTTTACAAAAAATTTGAATTTGGGAATTTTAAAATTCCCTCTAACTTCTTTTTTTTTAAAAAAAGGAAGAATACATTCCCAAATTCTGATCTTCCCTTCAGCATTTATGAGGCTTATAAATACCAGCCTCCACTATTCATGAAGCATTCAATGCTTCTCATTAATTACAGAACCATGTTTTTTCAAAAGATTGTTCAAATCATCCAAAAGTTAGAACTAATTACACCCGTTCAGCCCACATTAACCCCAAAAAATTACACCTAATCTAAAATTAGTGCTATACATAATTAGTCTTCAAATCAGTATTGCGTAATGTGAGGACAGCTTCATCTCCTCAAAAATCTTCATCAGCCACCCCCACACCATCTAAAGCAATCTGCAAGTTGAAACAACAAACAGAAGACATGGAAGACATAGATGATGATCTTTTTTTCAACATTGATCAATTAATCACATAGGAAGAAATGACATATCTGTACTTTGAGCATGAAGAACAGATGCAAGTGCAGACTTTGAGGCATACAACTCAGAAAATGAAAACATGCAAGAAGAGGAAGACTCAAGCATGCACTACAACAATCAAACTCAGCAAGATGAAGCTCAAGCATCATTGTTTGCAGAAGGGACTCTCCAACCAAACAGAATACAACTCAACATGCATCAAAAGAGAGATATAGTTGATGCAATGCTGCTGAAAATGCAAGATGGTAACTTACCTAGAGGCTACAAGATGAAATTATTAGTCAAATTCAAGGTTCACAAATCAACAATCACAAGAATTTTCACAGAAATAAAAAGGCAAATGGCAGAAGGGAATTTGATTGATGTCAGGTCCAAAAATATAGGGAGGACAGGTCAAAAGCCAAGGGAATTCTTTGATGAATTCCTACAGTCAGTTCCATTACACTTAAGGCAGACAGATTGATCATATGCTGCAGCACTGAATATTTCACATGTAACTCTTCATTATTTGAAGAAAAAGGGAAGGCTCAGAACTCACACAGCAAGCAGTAAGCCAGCACTGACATCATATCACAAGGTTGTTAGAATGAAATGGGTTTTGTCTCACATAAACCTAATCCAAGGTAATGAGAACCCCACATTTGAGGACATGCAATATACCATACACATTGATGAGAAATGGTTTTATCTCAACCCAAATAAGAGGAGATTCTATTTGCTACCAAGTAAGGAAGATCCCTATATGGCTCAACAATCAAGGAGGTTCAAATTAAAAGTTATGTTCATGGCCATTATTGGGAAGCCTCTGTATGGGAGAAATGGGGAACTCCTATATGATGGGAAGTATGAGATATTCCCATTCACACAACAAGAAATGGCAAAGAAGTCAAGTAAAAACAGACCAGCTGGCACATTGGTCACTAAAGCCACTCAAAATGTGAACAGAGAGGCAATAAGACACATGTTATTGAACAAGGTCATACTAGCTATAGTGTCAAAATGGCTAGAAAGTGTGCCAAAAAATGTGGTCATACAGTGGGATAATGTAAGGCCACATCAAATACCAACAGATGAAGAGTTCATTGCAGCAACACAAGCACATGGATTTAACATTTAGTTTGTGTTCCAACCAGCACAATCACCAGATTTGAATGTATTGGATTTAGGTCTATTCAGATCAATTCAATCTTTGCAATATCAGTCTTTTCCTAAGAATGTAGATGAGCTAGTTGAAAAGGTTATTGAGTCTTATAACACTTTCAAACCAAAAGTAAACAAGTACATTTGGGTGATGATTAAGATACTCAAGGCAGAGGGAGAGAACAAGTACAAAATTCCACATGTGAACAAGAAAAAACTAGAGAATCTTGATATTATGCCAAATCTGATTGAAGTGGATAGGAAAATAGTTTTGGATGTTGTAGAGTACCTGAACACAATGTTTAGGCCAGCACCCTAAGGAAATCATGAGGCAGAAATAGAAGACATGGAGGTAGGTGCAGACTTGTTACAGAGAGACACAGAAGACAACCAAACACTGCCACACATAACCACTTAGGAGCCTATAATGCTAGGTTTTATTTCTCCTTTGTTTAGTTCTTTTTTTGTAGGAAAAATTGACGTTTTCTACCAACGAAAGCACCTTGAGTCACATTTGCTACCCGTTTAAAATTTTATTTTATAAAACTACCACCCATATCCCAAAAAAATATATATTGCTACCACTTAACAAATCTGTTAAGTTTCTGTTAAGTGGAACCCAATATTGCATTAGATAATTTAATTTATTAAAGTGGGACCCAACACCATTTTCTCTCTCCTGGTGTAACAATGGCGGCCGAGAATTTGCTTGGTTTTATGAGTACCAAATTCAAAAATGGCAGCCACCATTATCATCTAACAATTTAACAAAAACCCCAACTCACATTAGAAAATTGAAGACTCAAAACCATGATTTCAGCAAAAATTGCTCAAATTTCACGAAGATTTAAGATGCCCAGATGAAAATTGAAGCAGATTTCACATTTTCAACCCATAAATCAGCTTTTTTTCCGCCAAAAAAAAATGTGGGAAATCATCCGAACTCTGCTGCAATCTTACATTCAAAGAAAAACCCAGAAAAATTCGAATCTTGTTGAGTAAATTTTGGGTAGTAGTAATTTAAATAAATCTAAACCATAATGAGCTAGGGCGAGGAGCGATTAAGAGGGTTAAGGAGGAGGGGTTTTTCTGGGTTTTGTGTGAGGGAAAGGGGATCGTGGTTTAGGGGCTAGGAGAGAAAGGGTGGTGTCGCACGAAAGGGGAGAAGGTGGTGCGCCGGCCACGGGAAGAGATTTGCGGCGTCGCCTGGGTTAGGGGTAGTTGGAAGGGGGGACATGGAGGAGGTAGGGTTTGCCAGCGTTGGGGGAATGTATGGACGCCGGCAAGGGTGTTGAGGAGGGTGGAAGAAGGGTGTTTGGGGATTTATTAATTTTTTTAAGTTTTTTTTTTTAATAAAATAAATTATTATTTAATGAAATATTGGGTCCCACTTAAGGGAACCTTAACGGATTCTGTTAAGTGGTAGTAATATATAATTTTTTAGGATTTGGGTGGTAGTGATGTAAAATAAAATTTTAAACGGGTAGCAAACGTGACACAAGGTGTTTTCGCTGGTAGCAAATGTCAATTTTTCCTTTTTTGTACCAATCAATAGGTGGTTAGGTGTATTTTGTATGTCGGTAATTGAAACAAACATCAAAGGCAGTGATGGTTTAGTTCTAATGCACATGTAACATGCTTTTTGTAGCCATATTTTGAATGGAATGAAAATGGGAATAATACTTAAGTTAATGAAACCATTAGGAGATAATTTTTTTAAAAACACAACTCTTCAAACATGGTTACCTCAACATCAATCAATATGTACTGATTGGTGGAGCAAAACCTTTGTTCAAAAAGTATTTCATAGGAATCCCTTCATCATTTGGATTCCACTTCAAGTTTGTAGTCAATTAAAAGGGGGGACCAACCATATCCACAACAAGAACCATAAAAAGGGAACTCCATTACACAATGTTCTCTACAATATGATCATTGAGAACAATTTACACATAATTATCCAAAATCCAAAACAACAATTCATCATAAAGGCTCATCATTCAACAATCAAATCCAGCAACCAACACATAAGGCAACCAACACAAACACTAATCCAGCTAGTAGGGCCAAGACAACCAATATCATCCACCATAAATTACTCCACTAGTCCTCAACACCAGCCAACATCATCAAAATTAGCATAAATAAGCATCAAGATCAGAACAGATCCAGCATAAACAACCCACAAATAAAGGGGACTCATCAAAACAGAACAATTTAACCAACCACAATTGTGATAGATGGAGCAACATACTTGTTAAAATTGTTCTCTTCCAAAATGATCATTGAGAACATTATATGCAACACACAAGCCAAAATAGCATCATCATTCATCAATCATATTCCCTTAAAGGCCATAACTAACTCAAAAAGAGTAATCAAACAGCAACTACAACAAAGGCCATTACCACACAACATAACCCAGCATTCTGTCCATATTCCAACAAACTCAAAAAATAAATCAACCAACAAACACCCACAAACATAATCAACAACAATAATCAGCCAACCAACAACAACAATAATCAGTCAACCAAAAATAAATCCACCATACAAAATTTGTCATACTACATACTCCAACAACAATAATCAGTCAACCAACAACACCCACAACCATAATCAAGGCCAAAATACAACAGATCCAAGAATTTATCCACAACCCAAAAGAATCATATACCATACTCCAACAACAACAATCAATCAACCAATAGAACCCACAAACAGCATCACTCAACAGCCAAAATAAACCATTAAATAGGGACTTAGCAACAAAATAACCAACACACAATCACACACAAACACCAGATCAATTCACCACCATACACAAGCATCAATAAAGAGGGATTCAAATAATTTAAGAAATAAGTTAGGGTTAGGAATCGTTACGAGAGCAGTCACTCAGAGGGTTGAACCCTAGGGTTCATCCGCCTCACATAGCAGTGCACAACAGGGACAGAACAAGAGCCAGCTTCAGGTTCCTTGGAAGGAGGTGCCTCATCAAGCTCCTCATCAGATGATAGGACGATGAGCTCCTCATCGGGAAGCCCACACATCCTTCTCAAAGCAACACGCGCCGCCTTCCGAGTAGCACGCACCTTGTAGGGAGGCCTTTCCCTCTTAGATCTAGGTTTTTTTAAAGCCACAACACTCCCCTCTCCACTCTCAGCAACCAGATCTACAAGGGCCTCAGAGAAATCGAGTGACTTCCTACGGGACTCACCTTGTCCCTTCTCCCTCTTTTGTTTTTCTTCCTCGTCAATACTTTTTAGGACTTGTCCCAAAGCTCTGTAGGTGTATAAGGTACAGTAGGGACCCGTTTTGCTTGACTCATTAAAACGACGAGGGAAGGGAGAACCAGTCTCAAAGCAGTGGATGAGATACTGGATCAGATTCTCCTCTCCTTTGTCGTTGGTAGCCATGTACACATCCTTCAAATGATCCAAGTTAACCATTGTTGAGAGGGGACTCGTGTTTGAGAAAGATCGAAGGAGAGAAGAATAGATTTGGAGAGATGAAGTGGGAAATCGAAGAAGAAAAGGAGAGAGCAAACGCCAAATGAAGAACTAGGGTTCATCTGGAGAAATCTCCAGAAGAAAAAGAGGAGCCCAAACATCGTCATAAATTTTAGGTAGTTGGGGGATGTGATTAAATGAAGAGAGTTGGGGGGAATTGGGGTAATAAATGGAGAGAGTCATTAGATTATGGAATGTGATTAGATTAGGTTAATGTAATTAGATTAGAATAAGGGCAAAGATTAAAAAATAAAAAAATGGTTAAGTAAGGGTAATATCGTAATTTCAGGATTTTTTTAAAACTAAAAATAGAAAGAAATCAGATAGTTGCACATAATACAAAATATCCTGAAAAGGCAAAAGTTGCACAAAACAATTAACGGAGGTAGTATATTAGATTGAAGTCTGGTAGTAAAATAAATTCTAAAATATTTTTTACGATAATATTCAAAAATTTTAAATTCATAGTAGCAATTTTCAAAATTACTTAAGCGGTAGTAATTGACAAATTTTCCTTTTTTTTTAATAAAATCCCCAAGGGCAACTAGATTTCATTCATATTAATATCAGAGTTGAGAAGAGATACAATGCAATCCGGGAAATCCGACAACCAAAGGCGTCTACCTATGCACCACGAACTCATGTGAGCAAGTTCGTGTGCAACCTTATTTCCTTCTCTGCGAATTAAATTAAAAGACACACTAACAAAGGATCGACAAACATGATAAATATCATCAAATATAATATGAAGAGAGTTGCCACCCCTTTCTTTTGATTTCAACGCGTTCATAAGGCCAAGACAGTCACCTTCCACAATCACCTTGCGAAACCCGTACTCTGCTGCTGTTCTCAGGCCAAGCAAAACCGCCATAGCTTCTGCAACTTCTGGCTGCCATCGTTCTTCTCTACCCCACGTTGCTGCCAGAAGAGCAGTTCCAACATTGTTCCTCATAACAGCTCCCACCGAGGATCCTAACCCCTCCAACACCTCAGCATCGACATTAAGCTTAACCAACTCTCCACCAGGAGGCTGCCAATGCTGCCTAGCAGCACTACCTCCCCCCACCGAACCCCTTTCCTCTCCTTATAGATCCCCCATCAGTTTGTCAATGAACTTCGCCACGCTACAAGAATCACATTGCTCACCCTCAAACAACCATTTATTACGGGCATTCCAGACAGACCAGCAAACAGTCATAAACCTACCATGCTCCTTCCTCGTCAACTGATCTAAACAAGATAAGGCCATGTCTCCAAAATTTAGATAAGGACCTTGAAGACTCACCACAAAACCACAAGTATCCCAGATTAGGCGTGCTAGAACACAATCCCTTAGACAGTGCAACTCAGATTCCTCCTCTACCTGGAAGAGAGAGCAGATTGGAGAAATGTTTGTCATCCTCCTATGCAAGCCCTTAGCAGTAGGCAACGCACCACAACAGGCACGCCAAAAAAACATCTTGATCCGGGGTAAAGTGACAACATGCCAAAGTTTCATCCACGTGTTCGACGGACTAGAAGAAGAAGGCATCACCTCTCCATTTGAATCACCAAATATAGCACGATATGCAGAACGAACCGAATAATCCCCATTCTTCTCGAGATCCCAACACCACGTATCATTCGGAAGTCGAAAACTGATTGGAATACTAAGAATGCGATCTCTCTCAAAAGGAAAGAACAAATCGTTGATTAAACTCACATTCCATTTGGCCGTCAGCAGGTGGGTTAAGTCACATACCATCAATTCTTCACTAGCATTGCCCCTAGGAGAAATAATTCTCCTATTTTGAGTACCAGGAATCCAAGGATTGTTCCAAACCGAGATGTTTAGTCCATCCCCCACACGCCATCTCACACCACGATTGACAACCCATTTGACACCCCAAATACCGCGCCATGAATAACTCGAATTACTCCCCAATTCCGCACACAAATACTCCCCATTCGCATAATACTTTGCCTTGAGAACCTGAGCAACTAAACTATCCGGAAATGCCATGAGTCTCCAAGCTTGCTTAGCTAGGAGTGCCGAGTTAAACAATTTATAATCACGAAGTCCAAGACCCCCCAGCAGCTTTAGGCTCGCACAACTTCTTCCAAGCCAACCAATGTATTTTACGCTCACCTTGATTTTGACCCCACCAAAAATTTGCCACCAAAGAACGCAATTCATCACAAAAGGAGGATGGAAATTTAAACACACTCATCGCATAGGTCGGAATAGATTGGGCCACGGCCTTAATCAAAACTTCTCAACCCGCCTTAGAAAGAAATCCCCCCTTCTACCCTTGAAGTCTCTTCAACAACTTCTCCCTAACACCCTTCGTAAGCACTCTCTTAGACCTACCAATAACTGTAGGTAGCCCTAGATATTTATCATGGATATCCACAACATTCACACCCAACCGACTAGCAAGAGCCTCCCTTCTTTCTGATGGGACACCCTTACTAAAACTCACCGTAGTCTTCCCTAGATTCACCATTTGTCCCGAGGCCGACTCATAAATTTTCAGAGTGTCCCGAATAGTACATATTCACTTCCTCCATACTTTCCTTAGAGAAAATAATACTATCATCGGCAAAAAGCAAATGAGAGATAGAAGGTGCTGACGGAGCCACCTTTATCCCATGTAATCCACCCTGTTCCACAGCTTTATTTAATAGGCCCGACAAAGCCTCAGCACACAGAATAAATAAATACGGGGATAGAGGGTCACCTTGTCGAATACCCCGAGACGGAGTAAACTCCCCTGAAGGTGCCCCATTTATAAGGACAGAAAATGATACTGAGGAAACACAATGCATAACCCGATCAATCCAGTTATCAGCAAAACCAAATTTGACCATTACCGCTCGCAGAAAATCCCATTCAACTCTATCATATGCCTTGGCCATATCAAGCTTCAGAGCCATCGAACCCCTATCACTTCCCGAACATTTCATATGGTGGAAAACCTCAAAAGCAACTAGAATATTATCCGTAATCAATCTTCCCGGAGTAAAAGAACTCTGGTTGACTGATGTAATCTCAACTAAAAAAGTCTTCAAACGATTGGCAAGAACTTTAGTAATCAATTTGTACACCACATTACGTAAGCTTATTGGCCTAAACTCTGTCATTTTCTCGGGATCTTTTATTTTTGGAATCAAAACAATGAAAGTATTATTTATTGACTCCGGGATTGCATTACCATTAATAATACCAAGAATTAAAGTAGTGACAGAAGGGCCAACAATATGCCAATAAGTCTGAAAAAACAATGGGAACATACCATCTGGACCAGGAGCTTTGAGCGGATGCATTTGCTTTAGAGCCGTATAAATCTCCCCTTCCGTATACTCTGCAGTAAGAATCCGAATCATGTCATCAGATACCCGTCGCTCAATACCCACCAAGGCTGCCTCGAAATCTGATGGGTTCGAAGAAGTGAACAGGTTCATAAAATAATCAACCGCCACCTTACTAATTCCCTCGTCATCACCCACTCTTTCCCCATCACCATTAACCAAAGATCGAATGCGATTTTTGGTCCTACGATTGGAAGTTTTCCTATGGAAAAAACTAGAGTTACGATCCCCCGAGTTGAGCCAAAGCACTCTAGACCTCTGGCGCCAATATATTTCCTCCATGTGCAATAATTCAGAGATCTCCTTCATCACTCTCCTACGCTCTATCACCCTATCAGCTGACCTTCCCCCTTTATTCAGTTGCGCTAGCTTCTTTCTTTTCTTTCTAATCTCCTTGAACACCTTGCTATACTCCTTATCACTCCAAGAAGCCAACAATTTGGCACAACATTTTATTTTACCATCAACGTTTGCACCACCAGTCAGCCAGGCTTGCTCCACCACCTCTTCGCACTTCGGGTTCTTGGTCCAAATTTGTTCAAAACGAAACAACTTTTCCTTGTTGACAGTGGGATTATCCTCATCACACAACAAAAGTTTGGTCGGTGAGTGATCCGACCATTCCCTTTCCAAGTGAACAAGTTTAGCTTTCGGGAAGCTCTCAACCCATCTATGCACCGCTAGAGCCCTATCCAATCTACATTGGACGTTATCATCTCCACTTTGGCCATTGCCATATGTAAATTCATAGCCCGAGAACGGAACTTCTTGTAAAGCACATGTATCAACAACTTCTCTAAAATTCTCCATCTGCCATAGTGCCCTATCACGCCCTCCTTTTTTCTCCGACTCTAACAAAATTTCATTAAAATCCCCTAGACACACCCAACGATCATCCCCTCTGCCATATAGCTCCCCTAATAGCTTCCACGAAAGATGCCTGTTTTGTACTTCCGGCCACCTATAGAATTCAGTCAGCCGCCATTCCTCCACCCCTCCGACTTTCCTAACCAACACATCAATGTGATGTATTGACATCGATCGTAGAGTCACATCCAAACCCTTCAACCAGAACATAGCAATGCCCCCAGACCTGCCACAGCTATCAATTGTCAAACCATCATAGTTAAGAAGTTTCATCCAAATTTTTGACATCTCAATACTACTCAGCTTCGTCTCCATTAGAAAAATGATATACGGGGCCTCTCTTCGGATCAAATTCCGAAGATTATTAACTGCAGGGGCGTTGCCCAAACCCCTACAGTTAAAGCTTAAGACACTCATTGAGCTAGGCGGGGTAGCTCATTGGTTACCGCCGCCAACCGCAATCCGTTTGAATTCCCATCAACCAAAGACTTTTTTGTAACACTCTCCATCTCCATCAAGTCATCCTTCCCTTCTCTATTTCGCTTCCCAAGAAGAACCTCCCCCTCATACTCCATTCTACACGCCTCCACACTTTGAACCCCCTTCCCCCATCTTCTACCTTTTTTCACATAATGTTTCCCTACTTTGCCTCCTTCTCCAGCTTTAAAAATTAAAACAGATGGCCTATCCCCTTCACTTTCATTCACCACATCCGTCCTCTCCCCCCTCCCCTCCTCCTCGTCCACCCCATTCAAGTCCCCTTCTCCCTCATTCCCACCATCCTTAGTCACTTCCAACACTTGAACACTCTGCTGTCCTGCCCCCTTCAACCCCCTATGCACCTCTGAAGCATCTGACATCCCACTCCCCACACTCCATTTCCCCAGGTAATTTTCTCCCTATATCCCCGAATCTATTAAACTTCTATTTAATGTTCGTGATTCCCCTTCCAGACTCCCATTCCCTTCCCCTGCCTTCCTAGTCTTCTGAGGTTTATGCGTAAAAATCAGAGCTTTCTTGGCTGCAGACTTGAGCTTTCCTACTTCTTCTTCTAGTCTAGCTCTCCCTTTACGAGGAGAAGCTCTAAGCCACAACCCCCATTACTTCTCATCCTCATCTTCGTCTTCTACTGTATTCGGGCAGTCTTTCTCTGTATGGCCCAAGATTCCACAGCCAAAGAAAAATGTAGAAAGTCGTTCGTATTTGATTTGAACAACAGTAACAATCCCCTTTTTATTTCGAATCTTCTGTATTCTGAGCAGAGGTTTCGATGTGTCAACCAAAACACGAACCCTTCGAGAAACATCCCATCCCAACTCATCCTGTTCAACCTTCAACACTATGCCAATCTTCTCAGCCACGGTTTTAATATCATTGTTCGAGCGACAGTCCAGCGGGAGATTGTATAGCCTCACCCAAAAAGGGAAAAATTTCAGTTCAATAGAGTCAGGTTGCTCATCCCCATGTATTTCTCCCATCAATAGCAATTGATTATCAAAGTTCCAAGGGGCACCATCCAATACCTTCTCCTTGTCACGCCAATGGAAAAATTGGATGATAAATAAGTTATTTTCAATTTTACGAAAGATTACATCACGCTTCAAGGCCCAAATTTGTTTCAAGGTTCTTTGAAGAGCCTCGAAATTATACGATCTCACCGTTAACAATTTTGCAACAATCGAAAAGGCCATTTTGCTTTCCTGGGTATTCGAACTGGAATCGCCGAATTCTGCAATCTCTTCCTCCTCATATGTTATTTTTAGACTAGACCACTTCTCAGTTAACTCTTCCGCCATCGATCACCGGTAAACACCCCGCAGTAGGGGAGTTAGGCTTGAACATGCAAGAGCACAACCTCAGACCTCCGCCGCAAGAAAGAAACCCTATTCTCCAAAGCGAGACTCTAAGTATTTTTGTAACAAATTTTCCTTTTTTGAATAAACTTAAAGCAAAGTAATTTTTTTTATAAACCGGTAGTAAATGTAAAGCAAGGTGTTTTTCTGGTAGCAAATGTCAAAATTTCTAGAGAAAGAATGATAGACAGGAGAGAGACAAAGAGCTAACTAACCTCGAAGGGTGTGAGAGTGGGGTTTAGTCACTTGCTTTATAGGATTTCACTATTCAGACTCTCTCCTCCTCGCCCTGAAATTTTCACAACCGCAAACCATTCTCTTTTGCCAGATTTAAGCTGCATTCAACTAAGTTCTGGTGCGCCATTTTCAGCGTTAGTCTTCACTTTTCTCTTTCTTGCAATTTTCTAATTTGTTTGAGTTACTTCCGAACTTCTAATTTTTTTGTTTTGATAATTGAGTTTTGTGATCGGATTAGGGGTTTGGTAAATTAGTTAGATGATTACTTCATTTGGGTTGATTTGTTGGAAGATTAAACTTTGATCTTGTTTGGAAATCCAGGTTGAGTTTTCCAGTGATTTGTTTCTTACAAGTAGTTACTAGGTTGTGGATTGTTAAGTTCATTAGTAAATTGCTTTGTAAATTATTGTGAGCACCATTTAATTTTGTTTCATAGCTGGATTATTAAGCTATCAAACTAAATAAGGACTCAATTGTTTGATTTTGTATCTTTTTATTGCAATTTGACATGTTATTATTTTAGTTTGTGAATTGTTTGTTGCAACTATTGGTTTTATGGGGTTGGACTTGTGAATAGTGGCGCGCCGCTTTTACCAAATTGCTTGATCTAACACCGTCAATTTCTAGTTTTTAGGTGGCAAGTTTGATTTGGAAGCTTTTGTTTGGGCGTTAGCATTGGGTGGGATTAGTACTAGTTCTTTTACTTAAACTACTATGTTGGGCCTAGGGGCTAGTAAGTCTCGTCCACATGTCTTCCTGCATTATGAATGACAAGGTTACCTTTTGTAGAGATTGTTTGCTATGTATTAAGAGGCATGGGTTTGCCCCTTGTTGGTAGTGGGTTGGTTAAAAATTAGTTTTGCAAGAGTTGGTATGGATGAAGAGAAGTTGTCGCACAATGCCATTATGGAAATTTTGTGGTGTATTTGTGTCTTTTTGTGTTCAAATTATAGCTGTTAATTTTGTAAAAAATAAAAAGTAAAAAAAGAAAAAACCCTCACACAGGTGTCTTAGCACCTATACTAAATACTCCCTCCAATTCTATACAATAGTCCCATATGGAATCAATCATATAAAATAAGAAAAGAAGAATATTTGGAATCCAACATTTAAATTTTTTTATTTTTTATTGGAAAGCATCAATCATACTTCTTCTAACGCTTGCCAATGTAAAACTTTAACGATCAATAACTTAAATTCTCCATAAGTAAAAATTATAAAAGTTATATATTATGATAGTACTTATTGAGACGAATCCAAAAAATCATACATGAATATATTTTTCCTTACATATTATTTACAAAAGACGGTCAAAGGAGGGGTGGTGAATAGTGTAAAAGTCAAACCGGGTCAAGTAATAGAGAACGGAGGAAGTAATTGCATAATTTATGGGAGAAAATTCCTTACTTAATGCCATGCCATTAATCAACAATCAATTAATTTAACTAATAAGAATTTAATATGTATAAAATAGGAAATAAAGACTAAGTTAAAAACGGAATATGAGTAGATTATTTTGAAACGCCTAAAATAGTATATGGGACTAACATCATGAAACTGAGGGAGTATTATCTTTGTTGCTCCCTCCAAGTGGAAGGATTCAAATCATCTAATTTATTTCCTACAAAAAAATACGATAAAAAATTGAGAATTTGGGGATTGTGGACCTGGAATTTGTGTATAATGTTCCTTCAATCAGTGCGTGTTTCTATAGCGTTTCAGTTGGATATAAAGCTTCTTTTTTTAATGGATACATTTGTCAATGTCAAATTCAGGGATATTTTCTTATCAACTTGAAGCTGATGATATAAGAGTTAGCTATTTCCTCTGCCCAAGTTCTATCGTATTGCCGGGAGCTCTGATCAGCTGGCTCATTCTGGGGTCTGCATTGTTTTACATGCCAGTTGATTTTACAGAAGCACTTAAGAGAATTTATCATGGTTCTCACCCGTAGTATATGTGTACCATCATTGTCACAAATATGATTGAACAATTCATCAATTTTGTAATTCGACCTCCCAGGTATCAAGTTCATTTCTCCTGTATCAAGCTTATGTTGTTGTCAGATTGCCATCATTGACAAACATTTTTGTTGTTGCTTTGTAAAACACCAATTTGTATCCTCAACATCCTCTTAATATTACTTGAACTTACTACCGAAGTTTTGAAAAGTGAAAGATAATAGAGAGAATTTCTAGATAGACATGATTAAATCAGCATTGTCATCCCATCCTGAGAGAAGTAGACCCCCTCACTTCTCTTGGAAATCCTCGTGATAACCGGTTTCCAAAAGGATTTCTGCCCCAAAGAGGTAAACCCAAATTATGAGAACCAATGTTTAATAGGTTCACAAGTTCCTCTCAGAAAGGAAGGGGTACATCTCCCATCTGTTGCAGCTCATCTAATAATTATCTGGTCTTCTTTATGCTCACTCCACACATCATCGAACTCACCGTCTTGACCTCATGTCCTCTCATACCTGTGAGCATGTACTTGAGTAAGAGGGACAATACTGTTCTATGGCTTCTGCCCCCTCTAATTTTCCTCTGTAGCCACACGCCCGCACCCCCCTGATATGCGAATTCTTCATCCCCGTCTTTCTCTTATGTTTTTTTTTTCTTCCCATTTTGAAAATATGAATTTTTACTTTAGAATTAGTAATGTTATTTTTATTTTGGTCATCATATAGTGTTGTTGTGTTATTGCTGTTACTACTATGGCTCTCTTACATGTTCTGTATTACATAGGGCCGTGTATGATCCAGATCAGTACTTATGGGAGAAGGATTTTACACTTGCTGGCAGAGCATACAAAAGAGAGGATTTGGAGGCAAGTATGGGAATTGTCTCATTGATATTCAATTTATTTTTTTCTTTAGTAGAAGTCATATGTGTTAATGCTGCATCATTTTGTCATTTAAACTTGGTACAATGCTTCCCCCATGAGAATTTGCAGCTTCAAAATGGAAGAGGCCAGACCTTGAAGTGTAGTCATTATGTCCCATCTCTTCTCCCAGAAGATTTTGCTCTTCCGTGTGTTGTATACTGTCACGGAAACAGGTCTGTCAAGAATTTTGATTTATATGTTTTTTGATACATTAATATTACACATAAAATTTCCAAAAACCCATTTTGTTACTACTACAGCGGATGTCGGGCAGATGCAAATGAGGCTGCTGTAATACTTCTTCCAGCAAATATTACTGTCTTTACCCTGGACTTCTCTGGATCTGGCTTATCTGATGGTAATTATGTTAGCCTGGGATGGCATGAGGTTCGTTTATGTTCTAGATAACTGTCATTATCAGTAACTATAAAAGCATGGTTGCATGACCATCAATTTCATTCGCTCTCTTTTTATTTGTGACAGAAAGATGACCTCAGAGTTGTCGTCTCTTATTTAAGAAGTAACAAGCGCGTGTCGCAAATTGGTCTTTGGGGACGATCTATGGGTGCCATTACAAGGTACAAAGCACCTGGCGTCCTTTTTATTTCTTCTCCAATTATCAATCATCCAATAAATTGTATCTTTCTCTGTTGCAGTGTAATTTTATTCAAATTATTTGCCTGTTTATTATGTTCATATTTTGAGATTTTTCTTAAAAGTTTTCATCCTATATATGCTTATACGACTTTCATTATATCCAGTAGGCTTGTCAAAATTGGTAGAGCCATTATTATCAATGTTCTTTCAAGCGTTGTCGGAGGTGGTGATGAAACAATCAATTTCATTTTAAATTTCTTACCCTTTGAATGATTAGTTTGTTCTTTAGTCAGAGATTAATTACATGGATTTTGTCATGGTGTATATATTATTTAAATAAACTTGGGGCTTGATATTCTGTTAGTGACTTAGTGAGTACCGTTAGATCAAATTACAAACTTGAAATTTGTGTGAGCATTTCGAGTATTATGAATACGTGATTATGACTTTGTGGACGAAATAGTTTGAATTAGAGGACGATTTTGAGATTTGTTGAATAACTTATTGTTGCTGTTCTGTTTCTTATGCAGCCTTCTTTATGGATCAGAGGACCCTTCAATCTCTGGGATGGTTTTAGATAGTGCTTTCTCTAATTTATTTGATCTTATGATGGAACTTGTTGATGTTTACAAGATTCGGCTCCCAAAATTCACTGTATGTATTATTTCCTTGCAAGTATGGTGTAGTAGTAGACTTGTAAGATCGCCAAATTTTACTACTTGATATCATGCGCTATTTTCAAAGTTTTCTTGTTAGGCATTATTCTGTCTTTGCTCACCCAAGCTTTTTCTTTGCAAGCTGTTGCCAACCCTACCGTTGGGATGATAAAGTCACCACAAACAATAATGTACTCCCTCCGTTCCTTTATTTTTGCCCCAAGGACTTATGTTCACTTTATTAAGTTTTGGTTGATTGTAGTTGTGAGAGGGATAATTGGTGGGACTAAAAAAATTGTTTGTGAGAGTAGAGTAATGCTCCCAATAGCCATTTATGGAATGGAGCAAACTTAAGGGGACAGCCAGAAAAATGCTAGCATAGCTCTGAGCATTCCTCCCATTTCAACAAAACCCATATTTGCTTTTGATACCAGCATGCCAGAAAAATGCTAGAGCAAAATTTGTAGATGCCAACCTCCCGAATCCCAAATTTCTTTCTGCCTATGGACTACACACTTAATCTCAAAGCTGATCCTTCTTCACACACACACACACACACAATATATATATATATATATATATATATATATATATATATATATATATATATATATATATATATATATATATATATATCATTAATATGTTACTTTTACTTTCAATAATTTCCGGAATTTAGAATAGGGGGGTGACAATGGAGTCTTGTATTAACTAGACTCTCATGAGCTTCTTCCACCTTCTAGTTTTCTGGAAATAATCATAACCTAGTTATTATTCACACCTGGATTGTCTATGTGGATCTTGATACCATGGTACAAACTTTATAATTTCAAACTCAGATGCTAAGCCTATTTGTTCTCCTTATTTCCACCTATTTTAGGAAAAATAAGTTCAATTAAGTACATATAAAGGCTGATTAGGCTACCAAGTTCAATTTAAATCTAGTTCTATTAAATATTTAAGTTAACATATGTTCAAATAAGGTTAGATTAGTAAAAACGAGATAAATAACTTCTCTCTTTCCACCTTAATCACACCCCCAACACTCTCATAGGATCCTCTCAATTATATAAACTATAAGAAAGTGAAAGAAAAGGTGTCGTAGGGTGCTCAGGGGTAAGAGATTTATTCTGTGGGGGTAATATTCACCATCATCAAAAAAATTATAATTACATTCTTTAATCTAGGAGTGAACCCCATGCTTAAACTAAGATTCATAAGCCTTCTTAAAATTTATCATAAAGTAATTCTCCAAACTACTTCATGATGTGCCTTTTCCATAACTTCATTGGCTTCCAAAGCCACCTCCAAAATTTTCCTTCACTCTACGGAAAAACGTGACAATGATATTGTTTTTTGATTTGCCAACACATTCGAGAGTCGTGACAATCTTGCATGCACTAGTAAGAAAATTGATGAGATGAGAATGTGTCTTAGATGATCAATCCCTAGTTAAAACTAGTAAGTGAAGTTAGATTTCATACTCTTCCCAGTAACCCTAGTTAGATTAAATTCTACAAAAGCTCCTAGCAAAATCATCCTTGACCACATCACAATAAGGCAAAGATCACAGCAAATAGCTGTTTTGAACCCATTCATAATGTTGCCTGATCGATCTCTAACCGCAATTCCGCTTATCTAGTACAGAAGGATATGGTTTCAATCCATTCTAATGGGAACATCTTACAAATAGCATGAACATCACTTAAAACCTCTCCAAACACTCTGTATCTCTTCAATAAATTTTGATGCCTCCTCCCATTTCACACCTTCAAGGAAAAGTTCTGGGGAAGCTTCCTTCCTCTTGCCACCTTAATCTTTATCATTTATAACTTGACTCTGCCTCTCCCTTTACGCTTCCTCATTCCTAAGATCCACAGTCTGTGTGCTAACTGCTTACTCTTCTTCTTCATCACAAAGTTTCTAATGAACTTAACAATTTCCTAAAAGAGAGTCACTTTTCACTTGTCATCTCTGAAAAATTCTTTTTCCACAACTTTCAGCTTCTCTTAAGAAATGCTACTTCTTTACGATATAAATTTCCCTCCAGCGTACTCTCAACATCTCATTCACCCCACCACTCCTTCATTACTTAAAATTCAGGTTTGTAGTCTACATTTTTTGTCAAAAGGAAACAGCGATGAAAATTAAGGTAATAATCACACCTAGGCTGGGGAAGTATCTCTTGAATTAACATAGGAAAGTCATCGTCAATAACAGTGATTTTTTATCTTGGAGATGGGATATAGTTGGGTGACGTCATTATTATACCTAAAGTGTTATTGGATTCCTCCCAATTCTCCTATTTCTTTTTTGTCACATCTGTATTTCCAACCTTTGAGTTCAATCATATGGGATGTCTTTTCTTTTTTGTTTTTTCTTTATCTCCTTCACAGGCTTTGGTGAGATTCAATAATGCGCTTCATTATTAATTTTGGAAAAACTTAATGAGTTAGAATTTTACTAGTTGTAGCTATATAATTATATGATTTGCTAAGATACAACATACAAGGGTGTTTTTGGCTGGAGGAACATCAGCTATTTGATAGATTTATACCAATTGTATATCTGTTAGCCTAGCATTTTCTAGAGAAGACTGGGATCTCATACTAGTAAGCTCCATAAATTGTACTATCATTTGACCCCATCATGACCAATTGACCACAATAGTTGTAGATATGTAAAATCGTAAACTAAGAGAGGTCAGAGGGTAGCAAAGCAATTATGACCTCTTGAAACTAGGTATCAGTGTGTCACAAAAGCATGTAAACCTTGGGAAAGGTTTGTTTTAGGAGTTAAATACCTTTGAGCGATTTGCTGGAAATTTGTGATTATATATTGTGACTATGAAGTGTGCTGAGTGAAGAGGATAAATTGGTGGTAGTCTAGGTGATCGAAAATCCTTATAGTAAAGGTAAGGGGTTTTGGAATTTGTTGTTGAGAATAATAGGGCTCTAAGATGAAGGTGTTAGGGTCCTTTCATTTTCTTGTGTCTTCATTATTTCATTTCGTTTGTTTTTGTAGTATCTACTAACTACTTGTATAATTTTTGAGAGGCAGGGGTGGAGGGAGGGGGAATTACCACCCCTGAGGCATTTTAAAAATATCACTTCCAAGCTGCATTTCTGAATGATAATAGGACAGAACCTGGAAAGTAGTACCCCTTGATATTACATCTAATTGTATTCTTCTGGAGCTGTCCTTTAAAGGTCACGAGGTGAATTTTTGTTGATTTTTGGCCTCATTAGAGGCTAGACAAAAAAGGCAGCTGATACTTTTTTTTATAGTGCATTGGTTTTTGAAGTTGGCGATCTGACATTGACCAAGGGTAGTTATGGGCTGTTTTAAACTTTCAGATTTATTCTCCAAGTACGTATCGGGTTACCGTTACCACAAGACTAACACAATCCCACCACAACAGCTTGAAGTTTGTAGTTTTCCACCCATTTTTTGCACTTCAGCTGCTAGGTAAAATGGAGGTGAGAGGGAAAACCCTCGTCTTTTTATTGGGACATGAGAATGAGAGTAAGAGTTGAAAGAGAATTGTTGACAGTGGATGCTGATTTCAGCTATTAATACAGGCATTAAGTGGGATTTTCTTATTTTATGGGATTTTCTTATTTTACATTTGATACTATGCTCTTTGTAGTGTTGCCTGGTATGTGGTATATTTCATGTACTTTATATAATTTTGAAATGGAGAATGTGGGTTCTATTTTATATTTCCATGACCAAGTTTCAGTGTTAGTCAATGGATGATTGTCATGATTCTTATCAGGCTGATTTCGGACTTTTCTCTTCATTGATTCTGATAATCAAGGAGTCACTGATGTAGGCTTTCTATTTTTACTCTCCTGGCTAGTGTGGCTTTAAAGCTAGACAAAATTTGAATGAGACAAAAATTGAATGAGACTTTCTCTGGGTAACAACGATTGTGATTAGGGTTTTTATTGGGTTAAGTGGGAAGAATCACCAGAAGCATGTTGGAGGTCTTGGCATTAGGCCTATCCGAGCTGTGAATGAAGCTCTTATGGCAAAGGGGCTTTGAGAGTCCGAGGTGTATGAATGAAAATGAAGTAATTTGAAAGAACACCATCAAACTCAAGCACTGTATAGTACCCTCCTTGTTTACTCAAACATTTTAATATTGTGAAATAAATGCATCAGTGAATTTGCTCCAAAATTGCTGTATTGTAATATGAAGGTTGACTTTTGTGTTTAGCAGAATATGCAAGTGATAATGAACTGGTAAGAGTAGAGAATATGATTTACTTAATGACAAGTTCTGACCGTGATTTCTGAATAGGTGAAGATGGCTGTGCAGTACATGCGGCGGGTGATTAAAAGGAGGGCAAAGTTTGATATCAAAGACCTCAATTCTTTGCAGGTTTAACAAAAATCAATTTACCGTACACATACTTACTTACAGATATTGAATTAGTCCCTTCTCACTTTTGCATTTATTAACCTCCTCCTCATCGGATCTCTCCTCATGGTGGGTGCATGTGTTTGTGTGTGTGCGCGCGTGAGAGAGAGAGAGTGTTTCGCATGCTTGTTACTGCGCATGCGTGCATGCTTGTGTTTGTCCATGAGTGCACTTGCATGTTTACCATTTAAAATAAACTTGATTTAAAATAGGAAGATTGATAAGGACTTGATAAGATATGTACAATGAAGATAAGATTGATAAGATATATGTACAATGAAGATAAGATTGATAAGATATTTTAGGCTCATTTTTAAAAAAAAATTAAGGATAACTTATCTTTTTGGAATTGCAAGAATCGGTTAATTTATCAATTTAAAACTTTCATAGCATGGATGAAATCAAGAAAACGACTAATTATTCATCTCAAACGTAGAACTAATGTGAGAAATAGTTTATACATCTACATATTATATTTACCTCTCTCATTGTTAAAGTTTTTCGAATTAGGATCTCCAAAGTTTTTTGATATAGAGGAACAGAGTAATTCGAGGGAATATTTGGGGAAATATAAGATTGGGTGGTATTCCGTTGAACACGTGGGTAGTCAACGCCTGCGTTTTCCGTTGAAAGGTATGATTTTGTAAAAAAAAATTTGATTAAGGTATGATCTTACAAAAATATTTTTATAAGGAGGTTTTTCACAAAAAAAAATGCTTTTAAAAGGAGGTTTCTGACAAAATTTCCTTTTCAAAATTTAGCGTACCATTGGAGCCATTTTAGCACCGTCATAACCATTCGCAATATATCAATGGTACAATTTCACCAATTAATGTTACTGATGCAGCTTTAAAAGTATTTCTTTAATACCATTATAACCATTTGTAGTTTCATTGTCAATGGTACAATTGCACAACTCAATGGTACCTATATTAACTTTTAAAATAATTAACTAAAACCATGTTACGCATATACAAATAACAAATGTATAACATTTATCACTTTGCACTTCCTCAAATTAACCCCACAACCTTCTACTAGACCATCCCACTCATCCGACTTAAAAAGACAACATGCCGGCTCGCAATGAAGAAAAACATGTGAGCAAGGTTCATAATTAACTCAACAAAGCAAAGCCATCTCTAGTCCATTTTTGGAGCGTATCATTTGTATTTGTCCTTCCCATAACTCCTAAAGGTTGTATCCTAAAGAAATTTGCTTAAGGCTTGATATTCAGGGAGCTTACTCAAGCAGCAAAACTAGGATTTTCATGTAGAAAACCCAAAAGAATCTCCCTTCCATAAATTGATATCCTAATTTTCTCCATTGTGATCACATAGAGGGGAGCTCCTTTAACTTTATCGGTTGGCCTTCGGAAGTACAAATCCAGTGCATCACTACAATAAAAGGCTAAATCTTAATTTAAAGTCGGAGCATCTAGTGGAGAAGATAGGCAGACTAGATGTGGAAATTTCCATACCTTAATATGTATCTCATAGTGGGGTTGAAAAGGGAAGTAAGTAATCAAAACTTGCTCTTAGTGACACTATAGTAGAAAAAGAATGAGGTTCATGAGGACGCCCCATTTTATCCACCTAAGAAATGCTTTTTGAAATCACCCATCTGAAAACTAAACCTCCATCGCCTTTGGTGACATAATAAATCTCATCTAACAAGGTGGTTCTTCCTTCTCTTGCTCCAGTTTATTAAAAAAAAAAATCCTCATTAGTTTCTCACCAAGGACATTTTTTTTGCTATAGCCACCGGAATATTGAACAAAGAGTGATAATATAGTGGTATACTTTACAAGCAAGGTCAGATTGGTGTAATCCTCTCACCAAGGACATTTTCTTCCATCTATGTAACCTTCGTGAAATGCTTAATAGTATCACTTCCCTACAAATTTCCGAGTTAACTTAGAGGCCCAATTTTCTACTTGCCATCCCACTAAAGCAGTAGGGTTTCTGGCCAATCCCCACTTAGCTACATTTAAAGAGTATCAATTCTTAAAACTTCAGAACACCTCAAAAATATTAAGGTTTGTAAGCACAATTTGAAATTCTGGAGATTAGTTATAGGTATAGATGGCTACATGAACATAGTGCAAATGGGACCCTAATTTTTTCTTACAAATTTGCTACAATATAAAGTACTTGACAGGCCCCTCATAGCTTAAATTTTGCTATCGTAATTTTAAATTTATTTGATTGTGGAAGATGGTTCCTTTTGCAGTTTGTGGTTGCACTTGGAAAGAAAAAAATCAATAGAATTTTGTGGGTAGTGTTTCCCCTAGTCAACGTTTCAATTCATTTTCAAGGCTTTGCTTATGAGCAATGTTTCTCGATTATGTTATTAAAGCTTCGTATAAAACAATATTTGTAAGAATAACTCTTTGAGTTTGCTCTTCTGCAATAATTATTTTGATCATGATTCCTGCAGGTTGCAAGCCAAACATTCATCCCTGTCTTATTTGGACATGCTAATGGGGATAAATTTATTCAACCACACCACTCTGATGTCATCTTTAAATTGTATGCGGTATATATACTAATATACATATGCATTTGTGTTGAAGTTTCTATACATTATACTGTTAGTGGCTGCTTCATGACTGCCTTTTGCTACTGGTGTCATTGTGTCAATGTAGGGTGATAAAAACATCATAAAATTTGATGGTGATCATAACTCTTCTAGGCCACAGTTCTACTATGACTCAGTTTCCATATTCTTCTATGATGCCCTACATCCTCCACAAGTTTCATCTGTTTGGTCCAATAAGATTCAGGAATATCATAGTCTGAAGGATCTGAGAGTTGATGCTGGTATGGATGAGGTAATTTGTTTTGAACATTATATACAAAGTCAGGTCATGAAATCAACCGCTTTGTTTTGGTATCTTTTAATATTTAATCAAAAATTTAAAGAAATATTATGTGGCACACAATTTTTGAATTTGAAAATCCCCCCAATGTGGAGGTAAAAGACTACTACTGGTGAACAAACGGTTTTATTCGCACTTTGGCAAGATAAAGAACATACACAAATTTTGTGAACTATCTTGTGCCTTATGTTGAGTTTGTAGATGTCATGGCTGTGACTCAATTGTGGTCAACTTTCAATAGAAAATTTCCTTCTATAGCTGACACCTCTTTCGTATACTGTATGCATATCTGTATAGTAATTACACAACAGGTGTATCTTTTCAAGTGCATTCTGAAAAGAACATGGTCATATTTTTCTTAATTTAAGACTAATATATGTGTATTTTATCATTTGTTTAGAAGCTGCTGTATGAGATAATATCTAATCTTCATATTGCGAGTACTGATGCTGCAAGCTCATCTTCTGCTCCGCCGAGCTTTTCAACTGCTAAGTCTGTCGGAGATTTTCTCTCTGAAATCGTACCAGTCTTGGGCACAAGTGTATGTAAAATTCTTGAACCTTTATTTGGATGTTGTTCATTAATTGGCTTTCGGGCTTACCGTAGCGCACAATGGGTCTGTAGATGATATATGTCCTTATCAACTTGTACCTATGAACTAAACTCATTAGGAGCTATGACTTTATCAACACCTAGGCTGCAAGAAGAGACATGTATCATCTGAAAGTATTCTTCTCTTCGTGGAACATGGTTTCATCATTGACATGTTTCTGGTGGTAAATGCAGGACTTGATGTCTAATGAAGACATATGTGCTGCTGATGGGTATTTCCAGGTAAACTGTACTATGTGTGATGTGTCTTGTAGTATTTGATTGTGCTCATTCTATCATAAACGAGACTTGATTTGTCTGTGAACCTGTAATGAAAGAATTATTGTGTCCATTAAGCTTACAAACATGTTTAAGTCGGTTTGACTGTGTTACCTCTTGTTTGTTCTTTGTATATAAAAAGACCCAAAGGCCCTCCTCGATAACACTTTCCATTGTTTTGACTGCTTCTGTCCACTAGTACATACGTCTTGCATCAATATAGCACATTGATGTTATGTGAAAATTTTTGCTTGTCAAAATGTGTTTAAAGTAAAAAAATGACTTCTTCTGGAACGTTCCTGGTCCGTCCTTACATTTTTTTTTCAGAGATGCCTCTTCTTGACTTATTTATCACTGGGTTTATGTTTCTTTGACAACATGATATATATATCTACTTTAGAAATTTTCCTATAATGAATTGATCTCATTTTCAGGATAAAATAAGTGGATCATTTGAAGAATGCTGCTCGCATGCTAGCTCTAACAAGGAGAGTTTAGGAAGATGTTCATCTTTAGAAGGCTATGATTACATAGAGTATGTTGATCCAAGTAACAGCCATCAGGTTTATGTCCTACTTTTACCATGAATTATTATTATTTTACTTATGCCTCCTGTAGACCTCTTGAAGGCCATGGTATAATAATTTCGTTCTTGTAGTTGTGCTAGGTTTTAGAGCAATTAAAAAAAAAAAATATTACTCTTGTTAAATGAACATAAAGTTTCCATTTTGGGATGTTGGATAATATACTTGCCCAACATTATACAGAGCAAGTTAGTACATTGTATAACATTTCCCCAACATTACATAGCATTCTCGTTTGCTCCTTAAAGGGCAATCACCTTTATGGGAGAATTGTTATGTATACGATCTATTATTAAAAGATAGGGATTTGCTTATAGAATCAAAGCAAGTTGCTTGAAGTGGAAGGGTACTATGGCGGTTTTATGTTATCCTGCTTACCCCATAGATTAAAGGGAAAATTCTACTGTATGCTATGGGAATAAGGCATGCATTATTATATGGTACGAAATGTTGGCTATCAACCATTTACATTCATAAGATGAATGTGGAGGAGTTGCATATGTTGGGGTGGATTTGTAGCCATATAAAAAAGGATCAATTGAGGAATGAAATAATTAGGAAGAAAGTAATACGTATATTGAGAACATAATTTATTTATTTTTTTTTTGGGGGGGGGGGGGAGAATCATAGGTGGCTGAGATTGAGTGAGCTCCAGTAAGTAAACTTGAAGAGTGCAAAATGAAAAGATCATGATGGGTAGGGGAAGACTTTATTATTCTTGGAAAGGGTGATTAAGAGTAACATTAGCCTTTAAAGGATTGTGGAACTGGAAAGTGCGGAATAACTTTAAATTCATATACTTTTTTCTACCTAAACTCGCTGTGTTTTACAAACTTAAATTATTATCCTATGTTAAGATTTTCTCGACCTTATTATTTGTTTTTACTCGCTTGTTTTCCTCTCTATTTATATCCCCTTAGCTCCCTTTCATCTAATTTTATTTGTAAATCATATTTTGTGGTTTTCACTTTGCACTGCTCTCTGTTTTTGCTCACTATATTCTTTCTAGTTTTTCATCCACTTTCATCTATCACTTTTCTTTCTATGTTCCTATTTTTGGATGGTTTATTATGATGATTCATGTTAGCTGACCTCAAATCATTTTGGGACTAAGGCTTTGTTGTTTTGCAAGCTTAAACTATTTACGTCCCGTTTGCCCGTTTGGTAGGTTTACATAAATGATGGTATTGAATTTGTATGTAAATTTTTAAGGAAAATCAAAGGTTTATTCATATGGTAATGATATTTTACCCTAAGTTGTCTTTTTCTCTAAATAAATCTTTATTCCCACCTTATACCTCCTCCCAAGTGGTAATAAATCTTTATTCCCACCTAAAACCTCCTCCAAAGTGGTAATCACCAACGATTGCCAAAATAGTGTGAATAATCCAACAGTCCTGATGTAATAAGCTTAGTGAATTTTGTGGCTAAGGTGTTATATAAGTTGTTTAAATTGCTTTACCTTTATGCAGATGAGCCCCAATGTGTCGAGTACCTGCACCGCGCAAGACGTAGGCAGATCACCCAAAGACAATGAGAAAAAGGTCCCTCTAGGGAAGTCGGAAAAACTTGGGACCTTGAGTCAACTTTTGCGCTTTTGCATTCTAAAGAGAGCTAATCATCGTAACTCCTGTTGATGAGTGTACATGCTCACACGAATTGAAATTTGTTCTATTGTACAACATCTGATCTTTCTAACTGCAGAATTATTTATGTACTATGACGAGTCTTAACAAAAAAAAAAAGTCAACATGATAGTTAGAAACGTTATGTTTGGATATGTATTATTCACTAATCATTCTTGTGGATAGGATTAGCAAAACTTTCCAATTTCGTTAATCTGATCCAATGGTGCATTGATTCGAACTAGAAGTCATGAACCTGGTCCAGATGTCTAGTTAGTTTCAGATAATTCATGTACTCGGAATTATTTTTTTAAAAAAGTGTTGTTTTCAAAATGATTTATTTATTATTTCATCATTAAATCATACTAGTAGTATATATGACTAAGAAAGTAAATTAATTTTTGCTCCATCTGATGTACAAATTTTGTTTTGTTTCTAAAATAATTGATTTTTAATTTCATCATTTATGACTGGAAGATTGTAAAAGTATTTCATTACCCTCGTCAGATATTTTTTTTTTAATTTTTTTTTTATTCCGGAGTAATTTTTTTTGTATTATTTGGTTGTTCAAACAATCAAACCCAAATCATGACGTACTGACATGGAGAAAGATAAGCAAATATAACCCTGTTCTTTTTTGTCTTATTTGACCTGAAGTAGAATTACAATGCTCCCTGAAAAGAATAATGTCCAGATAATTGTCCATTTGCCGCGCAATCCATGACTTGAAGAAGGGTTTATGATACCAACAAGAAATCGACATTGTCCAACTGAAGGATCCAAGAAAGTGACCGCACCAAGACCGTCAAAGTCACAACTCTGTACATCTTGTTTCTGTAGCTGATAGTAGCTATTGAATGCGAATGATACATTCCCATTTACCCCGATTCCATTGCATGAACCACCATAATTAAGTCTGGTGCAGTCAGCAGCACTACAAGCAAGTTTTAAATGGTTTGACACACGAGATAGATCCTTTGATGGATTTGCAATGCACCATCTAGCTGGGAGATACCTAACATCCATAGCATTTTTCAATAACCCACCACCTAGACCAAGATTCAGTTGATACTTAGCTTGCCCATCAAAGGAGAAAATTCCCCAATGCCTTTCAAAGTTCCCAGGGAGAGTGCTCTTTGAGTCTTCATCAAGAAGGCTGAACATATAAACGTCCATAGGTGGGGCCCCGGGCTTGAGAGGAGTTCCTTTGTTGCTGAGGACATGATTTATAAGGCCCTGGTTAAAGACCCTGGCTGCAGTAAGATTTGCGCCAATGGCTCCATCTGTAGGCCAACCTACCTCCCCAATCACTATGGGCATCTGACCATACCCAATTCTGTTAAGTGCTGCAACTAACGTGTCATAGTTACCGTCAAAGGCATTGTAGTAGACATTTGGTCCATCGATTACAGGATGGTTTGTCCCTGCAAAAAATGCATAGTCTTGGGGGAAATCTGAATTTCCATAGAGACTTAAAAAGGGATAGATGTTGACAACAAATGGAGAAGCATTGGAATTGAGGAAGGAAACAAGTTCAGTCATAATCTGGGAGAGTTCGGGACGAAAGGCTCCTTGAGATGGTACAGTTGACTCGTAGGCATCAGCATTACAGGGAACTACTAGCTTGACAGAGGCAGCAAGATTTGCTTTGACCAATGACTGCTGCAAGTTAAGTAGAGCTGGCACGACATAAGACTGAAATTGGCCAGAGTAGCTAGTGAGAAAGGGCTCATTCCCAACAGCTACATACCTGAAATTGAGTAAGATGTTTATTTAGAGGTTTGCATTTCCATGACAAGAAGTTACTCAGGCTCAGCTCAGGATCAAATAAATGTACCAACTGCCAATTAGGAAACTAGTCAGAAGTTAAAAACTGAAATTAGAGCAGCAACCTACAACAGTAAATGCTTGACAGTTTTTATTTTGTAGACAGGAAGTTTGCATATTCTACAACAGCAGTCGATGGTGAATAAACATAAAATGGGACCAAAAAACACCCCCAAAGAAATCCCTAGAACCCAGGCACTAAAGGCAAAGTAGCGGTTCTTGTTTTAGAGACTACATAATCAGGGCAAGTAGTTGGGGATGGTTTTCTGCCAGAGTTTAATAAAGGCAAGTAGTAAAAAACCATACCAAAATCAACTTCTTTGACTCTACAAGCAGGCACCATCTTATGTAACCATAAGACAATCTCAATGAAGTTTGTACCTATCACTTGGGCACGATTCATCCTTTTGACGGCTAGGCTACAGCTCTTTGCTGAGGCCATTCAACAGCGTTCTCCAACTGGAATTTGAGACAAAGAAATCAGAGAGGACAGCCTGCTTGTTTTGACTCCAATTTGGTTGATAGGTACCAAATTGCTTGTGAAATTGTGATGGCAAAGATAAGAATCTACATGGGTGGATTTCTAGTCTCCCGCAGACCATGGAATTGAAATGTGGATGCTAACACCAAGTCACCATGTGAAGAATTTCGAATGAGAGGACCACTTAAACGAGACCTTATATCTCATGTGATCTAACTATGCTTGCTATATAACTCCGGCTAAGAAACCATACCCTATATTATCTACAACTTATTGTGCACAAGCTACTATCAATGTATCATGTTTTACTGGTGTTTAATGGTAACTATCTGAGAATGAAGTTAAAGAACAGAGTGCACAAGGAAAAGGGTATATGGAACATACTTTATTTGTGCATTTAAAATGCATTACCATCCAGGGAAAGGCAATAATAAAACAGTATAATATAGCAAGATGCAAAAGATCAGGTACATAAATATCACCATATTATTTAATTAACATTCCTGATCAAGCAAACTTTATCAGACTAATCAGCTACATATTGCCTTAACAACTTTTGGTTGTGCCAGATGCTCCAAAAGGTTGAGAGATAGCCTTATTACTTCCCATTCTCTAAAAATAATCCTAACCCTAATCAACACGGGTCGGTTGTGGGAAGTCTGCTTGCCTGTAAGGGGTATTTTCTTGAATCTTTTTTATTACCCTCAACCTAATATACAAAGTGCATAAGGTTATAATACTCCAATGAATCATCATAAATCTAAAACAAATTCTGGGTGAGTTGGTTTGGCTCAGTCCGGTGATGCGGCTCATAGGGTCATTATCATTAGGGCCGACAAAAATGGTATTATGATGGCAAGACTGTAATACACAAATGTTTCTCAAACTAAAATCAAATACTTATACTTATGTATTATACAATTAGAGAGTGAGGATTGCTCATGTGGGTAGAGTTTCCCTCCCGATTCCAATAGATCATGGGATTGATTCTCATCCCCCGCCCTTGTACTTTAAAAAAAAAAGAAATAGAAAAACGGAGAGAGCGAAAGGATAGACCTGATGTCGGCGGGAGGGTTAGAAGAGACATAAGCGGAAAGGTTGCGGCGAACCCAAGAATCAGCAGCAATGGAAGAAGAGCTAAGAATAGACAGAAAATCATTAGGAATGCCAATCATAACTTGAATGTGGGTACCCCTAAGAGCATTAACAGCTTCTGGGTCGGCATCGAAAAGCTTCACTTTAGAGATCTTGTTCTGTATCAACAGATCCACCACTTTGGTTGCTGGTAGTCTGTGCTGTGATAGGGTTCCCCAGTTTACTCCTATTGCAGCTTCGCCGCCTTTTGATGTCATCATTGTTACTAGTATTACCAACCATACTAACACTGCTTGTTTCTTCCAGATTTTCATCTTTTTGAGTTGCAACTTCCAATTATAGTTTCAAGTTGAAATTCAATTTAATGACTATAATACAGTGAAATAGTGTACACCAATTTGTTGAGTGTTTTTCCTCTTTTTCTAACCAGTCCACACTAGACATCTTTTATTAGTGGAGCAGCAGCCGGAGCCCAAAATATCTATCACTTGTCATTATTCATACTACCCTTTAACGGAGGAGTATAATCTAGTACAGTAATACCAAGTACTACTGTACTAGAAGGTGGGTGTGTGTTAGCAATGTTCGGGAATCAGGATATATTGTGTATTTGTAAAGAGAAATGATACAAGTATTACAAACTGCCGTTTGTAACAATCGACAAGTAAACTTTAATTTACAAGAACGTCATTCCAAATGTTACTAAATTTAACATCATATTGATGAATTTCTAAAGATATTCAAGTTTTCCTCCGTGGTAAACTTGAGAATTTATCACAAGGTATTTTCGTCATTTTGTAATCAAAAATAGGGGTGCATTAGGAATTCATCAATATGATGTTAAATTTAGTGACATTTGGAATGACGTTCTTGTAAATTAAAGTTTACTTGTCGATTGCTACAAACGGCAGTTTGTGTTCACACTTAGTGAAGTTAGGCAATTTGAGATTCACAAAACATAGATGACGAGTAACTTGAAACCCTAAATGAGGGATGATCTTAGAGCAGACATTAATACCCGTCGGAGCATTAGGTGACTTGCAATGTTAGCACCTGAGTAGTAGGCAACCTGTTGGCGAAACATTAGGCGACTGTGGAAAATTCAAGCAGTCTGTTTATTGTTCTTCATTTTTCTATAAAAGAGAGTGCACAGAAATTACTATTTGACAATTTGAATAGCTAAATCTATTTACTTTGGTATCTAATCCCTTTTCTCTTTAGATTGTTCCTTTAAATTTTCTCCATAGTTTAAATAGCCATAGACACCCTTCCTTTACTTTTCACAAACAACATTATTAGCCTACCAAATTTTTACTTTCATCAACTTTACACAACCAAAACTAAATCAGCAAACGATTGTTAAGTTTTCTAGCAAATCAGCAAACGAAAGGAAACGAAGGGAGTATGTGATTCCGCCCACAATACTCGTATTGAGGGGTGATAATGAGACTGAGCTATTCGTGAACTATTCGAGCTCGATTCGGTCAAATAAAAGGTGGCTTGGCTCGGGTTCGAGTTTGGCTCAAGATCTTAACGAACCAAGCTGAGTTATGCCAAGCTCGACTCAAAAAGTTAGTGAACAAGCTCGATTATTGAAAAAAAAATCATGTACTACCTCCGTCCCCGAAAGAACGACCCATTTGGCCTAATTTTAGTCCCAAAAAGAATGACTCATTTGCATTAAAATCCCCAACAATTTGCAATAATATTTGTGCAAAATTAATTTCCCCATATAAAATTTTGTTTCTCTATGTACTTTTATTACTTTCTCTCTCTACTTTTTTACAAACCCCATGTAAATTTATCTTTTCAATATACTTCTTTTTATTTAACATTCT